TACCGCATTTTTGGCCTGATTTGGTTCTAGTAAAGGTAGAGGATAGCACGCGGAGTCAGGTACTTACTGGAGCGGTACAGAGAACCTAGCATTTTCCTTGCATCTTTGGCAATGGACCGTATGTACGAGTTCCACTTATGGACTCTAGAGATTCACGATCTCTCTCTCTCTCTCTATATATATATATATCCATAAAAGGCAGGTTGTGTGTGTGTGTGTAACGAATGCACGGCCGCAATTTTCGACAGATTTGCACCAAAATTTACAGGCACATGCTCCAAGTTAGCGGGAAGGCCAAGACCGACATTACATTTCCCGACCCCATCGATGGTGGAAATAATCGATTTTTTTCATGCTTCTACGGCAGTTTTCATGTAGTTTGCGGCCATTTTCTACTGGCCAGAGTGAGAGCCTATAGCTGGCTGCCACGAATAGGCAGGAAGATTCTATTGGCCAGCGTGAGAGCCAACAGCTGACTGACACGAATGTTAACTAGCATGCGAAAAAAAAATCGATGACTGCATTCGTCACAAGTGGGAAAAAATTTAAATCTGCATGGCATTTTTCTCCAGTTGGCTCATTCAACTTGCTTAGTACGATTTTGAAAATCAAGCACGGGCGGCAGGCGATATGGCAGTGGTATATATATATATATATATATATATATATATATATATATATATATATATATATATATATATATATATATGTGTGTGTGTGTGTGTGTTTGTGAAGGAGAGAGATTACATAGTTTAGTCTGGTATCATGTCTAGTATAGCGCACTTAGTGAGACCCGAACTCACAACACTAGCAAATTGATCTAAGAGACAATCTTGCTTACCATTACACTATGACAGGCTTACATAATTATTTAATGTTTCATCTGGCTGAAGGCTACTTTGAAGGCGTTCCCTTATTTAAACTGACATGACTAATCTGCTCTTACAAGATAGAATTCTTATTATCATATGTTATTATCATTTTCGTGGGGTCATATTCCTATTTCTTGTGGTTACAGGAAATATATGTCACCAATATGGCAGCTATCCAACCCCAAGACACTATTAGACTTTGTAGAATAGCATTAGAATTAATGACAGACAGTAATAAATAAAAACCGAGCGAGATGACTGACCAGGTTTTATAGAAAAGATCTATGAGGATGCAAATTGCCAACGTCAGGGCCACTTATGAATAATCCATTTGAACAGCAGGCCACGAAATGAGTCATTTATTTTCTGGTGTGGAGAAATTAATACAGAATATCACAATGAATATATAATGATTCAATTTCAATATGAGAATTTTATTAAACTGGATTCGTCCAATAAATGATTTCCATTACAATGGTTATAATTGCTCTAATATAATCTCACCAACGTGTCACGGCTGATATTGTTGTTGCTATTATTGTTTTATGTTGTGCGAGCTACCCTCAAGAGACAATTTTTTTTTGTTGTTGTATCAGAAGATGCAAACAGATGAGGTGCAGAGAGAAAAATATAATGTAATTGTGCTCAGTACCTGAAAAGAAATCAACGCAAGATTTGGGAAGTATCCTTGAATATGTTTTTTTGTAATTCATATATTATGTTGTCACATATGAAATAATGCATTTTTGGTTGGTTGTTGATCCGCTTATCTAACCAAGTAACCAGAACCTCCTTAATATATGAAAAAAAATCTTGACTAATTCTTGACTTACTTTCTTTCTTTTAATATATTATTACTCATAAGCTCAATGAAAATGTTTATAATGAAACAATGTCGAGTAATTTTACTTTAATTAGTTCAAACTCGGAAAAAGAACCATTTTTGTTTCGAATCATTACATATGATGAAAAATGGATAATTTTTGACAACGGTAAGAGAGTAGGCTAGTGGTTACATGCACGTGACTCACCAAAACAATACCCCAAACCTTCACTGAACCGTAAAATGTTAATGGTTACTGTATGGTGGTCTTTCAAAGGGGGTTTTCATTATTCATTCTTGGCTCAGGGGAAAACAATATAAACAACATCATATTGTGGAGAAATTGAGTATATGCACGAATAATTGAAAAAATAAATAAATCCTAGAGTTGTGAATAGGGATAGCCCAATTTTACTGCATGACAACGCACAGCTGCACTCTTGCCAATCAACTGTCCAAAAGCTACATAGCCTGAATTATGAAATTTTGCCTCATCTTCCATATTCGACAGATATCACTTATTTAAGCATTTTGATATTTTCATACTCAATAAAACATTCTCCAATAAGGAAGAGGCAATTGAAGCATTTGGACTATTTATCACATCAAAGATGATCATTTTTTTTGAAAGATTGGATCAAGAATTTGGAGAACATTTATTCATCAACATTGTGCCTATTTTCAACTAAATAAATTGGTTATTTAACATTTCAGGAGCGTTTTATTCATTTCCTATATATTGCGTCATTTCATGTGTGACAACCTAATATTTTAGGGCTACCAGGGATCCACATATTTGCATGTTCCTTTTTATATAATTTTCAAATACCCAATAACAACAGGTGATGCTGTCGGCTTCCGATGCCACAATCTACTGATTCTTATTCTGCAATTCACATATTTGTTTTGCACTTTTAAATATAATTCCCAAAGCCCCAATAGCAACAGGTAATGTTGTTCTCTCGAGATGCTAAATTCATTTGATTACTATCCCGGGGTCATTGTACATACTTGCCAGAATAGAAATTCAATTGGGATAGAGTTGGGCATGTTTAAGAATATCAAATGGCAAGTTTATCCCTGAGCTAAGGACAAGTTTGGGTGACATTACCTGATTATCACAATCTTTGGAAGAAAAATGAGATTTTTTTGGTTGGTTCAATTTAGAATTAAATTGAATTTCAAAATCATAATGATGTATTAACGATGAAAATTTACAACAAAATGGATGAAAATGTTAATTAAAAAAACTTTGAATGCTATTAGTTTCCTCTTTTATACACGCTGGCCTCTCAGGGCGAGGGTGAACATGGCTCTCCACAACTACCTATCCTTTGTAGCTCATAGCAATGTGTGTTCCTTTACTATGCCCTCCAGTACCTGTTGTCATCTCTCCTGAGATAAGTAACTGAATTTTTTTCTTCTACACCGTTATATATATATATATATATATATATATATATATATATATATATATACAGAAGTCAAAACTTAGAGGCGAAAGTCTGTTTTTCATGTTAAATGCAATCGTCAGGCCACGAGTGCTGTTATTTTTTCTCGGCTATTTATAACAGCACCTCGTGGCCTGACGATTGCATCTAACATGAAACAGTCGCCTCTAAGTGTTGACTTCTATGTTCACTTTTATATTTACACACACTATCTCCGATATTGAGCATATTAACCTATAAATATAGCACATCTTAAGACTATATATTTTTATTATATATATATATATATATATACGGTGGAGTAGTGGTTCGGAATGAGGGCTCGGAGAGCAGAGTTCGAATTCCAGTCGAATCCATTACATTCACTTATGTGCTAATACCCTCTTCTTCTCTCTCCAGCTATGGGTATAGTCTTGGATGGCAAAAACTACAGAAGGTTGTTTGGGGACCTTGTGGCACATAGTGTATTAAAAAATTGTGGTTTGTTCTGCACAATATCTTCAACACTATATTCAAATCATATGAACTGTTGTCTGGTTGTCGGTTCCTAGGAACTGAGTTGCTGACCCTCATACGTCCAACATATACATACGAACGGAACTATTCAGAAGCCATCGATAATTGTGATAGCTCGTAAGTAACAAGTCATCGTGACCGAGCGGTTGGACATAATAGCCTTGTTCAAAAACACAGATCATGCGAGATTATATGATCTCCCCCAGAAACGGTAACTAAGGTCTGCTCTATTATTACTTACCGTATAAACAACAAAAAATTCGCATGTAATAGAGTTTGGTAGACAGTGTGCACTGAAACAAGTAGTAGCTGGCCATTATATATATATATATATATATATATATATATATATATATATATGGAATATTTAGGCAAAAGAATTTTTTTAGACTCGTTTTCAAACAATACCGACAAGGTCTGACTATAGGAATTTGATTAATTTTTCCAATTTTAAGTTAATAAAATGTTGGAGAAACAGACGTATCCGTTATATATATATATATATATATATATATATATATATATATAGATAGATAGATATATATATATATAGAGAGAGAGATGTGTGGGTAGAAGCCACATAATTAGATATTAGCCAATGTATATGCGTGCGTTAACGTGCATGCACAGATAAATAAATACATATTTACTTAATTTAATATAAGGTGTAAACAAAACAGTGCTCAATGTAGTTAGACAGAGCTAAGAAGTATATATTAATAAATATACATACACCTATATTAGTAGAACAACTTAAAGTTTCATGGTTTCCCCAAGTCATCTGGAACGAATTCTTGAATGAATCACTTATTTGTATTATTATTTTTTTTTTTTTTTTTAAAATACTGGGTCTCATGGGAGGGACGCTAAATTAAACGCAGATTCGAAGCTGAATGTTAACACAAATTTAATATATTAATGGGATATAAATTTAAAAATGTAGATTATAGGTAGGGGGACAATGGAAAAAAAAGCGTCAGTTTATAGGAATTTGTTTTTCTACTATGTAAATATCAAAGTTTATAAAGAACGTATTCTCCAAACGCTAAATGATTAAAACATCAAAATTTATTTTGCAATCTGTTTTTGGTTAAGCCAAATACTTTTTTTTTTAACACAAAATTGTAAAAACGTTTAATTTTTCAAATGGAGAAGGTAGACGTTACTTACCTTTACGAGTTGGACTGTAAATAGTTTTGTTGTAAGATTTCTGATCAAATTGAGGTTTGTTGTCATTCCTGTCTCTAACAATGATGATTACTGGTACAGTTATCCTCCGAGACGTGTAGCCGCTGTCCTGTGCAACCACTTCAAATTTGTATCGATCTTTTTTCTCACGGTCAAGAATAGCTGTAGTCAGGATAATCCCATGGGCAGGGTCAACAGTGAACTTGTTCTCCAAGTCTCCTAATAAGGAATACCTGTAAAGGCGAAAAAGAGTGAAATGGTAAATAGAATTTTAACCTGTTGATCCGTATTTTTACATAAACTATACAAAGCATAGTTTGAAAGAATTTTTCTTATTTATAAGCTATATATATCTATATATAACTTTGATAACTATAAGTTACACACACACACATATATATATATATATAAAAAGAAAGAACAGTAAGATATATAATCCAGTGTTCTTATAGATATTTTTATTTTTACAAAAAAGTGCGAATGTAAATTTACAGAGCATTAATATTATAAATTAATTGATTTAAAATATGTTTTTCGCTACAGTTCTAACCATGTTTTAAAAATTTTGAAACATGGTTTATAACTATGTGTGGCATGACCTAAATCAATTAATTAATATATATATATATATATATATATATATATATATATATATATATATATATATAGAGAGAGAGAGAGAGAGAGAGATACTTTAAAATCAGGAGGTCAATTGAAATACGCGACCATGGTTTCGACTGACTGTCTCTTCGGGCGATACTTTTAAAATGACCATTTTAAAACTTTATTTCCTAATTCAATCTACAGTGAAACATGTTTCATAAGGTTTTTTAAACTAATTGAGGATTCATATATATATATATATATATATATATATATAGATAGATAGATAGATAGATAAACCTAGTGAGCCAGACAAACCTACTAGGTTTCACCTAAACGGATCGTCAGGGAAAGTCGACTTCCTGACGATCCGTTTAGTGAAACCTAGATAAGTTGTCTGGCTCACTAAATGTATATACGTCTGCTCTGGTTGTATTGAGCTCTTTTGTTAGTTGTTTACTCGTATCGGGTTTTTTCTTTGGGTTTCAAGCCTGTATCTGTGCGATTTTTTCGACAGACTTGCATGTTTGTAGCTCTTTCTTTTTTTAAAACCTTTTTTTCCTTCGAGATTGATTTGATTATTGGCAAATCAGAAATTCGAGGGTTTTTGAAAGGTTGAAAAATATCCATTGAGAAATGTTGAAACAGGCAGCTTGATTCCGACGATTGCTAAATTTGCAATATTGAAACATTTACAAGTAATAGATTAATTCTGTTTTAATTTGCCTAATTTTCTTGCGCAGTTTAATTAACTGTAACGCTAATTGTAGATAAGACGAATTTAAATTAAGCAATAAAAGGTGCCACAAGTTATTTATCTGAGAAATGCCACACCGCAAGAATGATTGTGTGTGTTTGGATTGAAAGATTGATATTCAAATGCCTTTGTTCAAAATTTCTGAGACTTCATGAGATTTTAAGAAATATCTACAGCAAGAGGCGTGCACAGAACGTATAGTCATATTTCTTCTATGTGCATGTCCCTTCAGGATGAGGGCGATCATGGCTCTCCATAACTTGTCCTTTTTAGATTTCAGTAAATTTTGTATTTTCGCTATCCCTCCAAGCCTCTCTTTTGTCTTCCATTTAAATTCATTAGATAGACTGCTTAATAATTTCCCATGTTTCCTTTCCTTTGAGTGTCAAATTCTCCAATCCCCAATTATCTAGCTAGCTAGCAGGCGATGTATATACAGTCAGTATGGACATAAGAACCAAAACGCTTATAGTGTCTGTTAATGCAACGCTTCATTGAGATCTCTCCAGGTACCTGTCGACACAGTCTATGTCTATTAATGCACTGTTTCCCATATTGAGCCCTATTTTTCTACAAATATAATTTTAAATAATATTTGTATAGATATATGTTACTTATTATAGTGTATACTATGTATTTGAAACAGACGCCCCCATTTTTTATTTATTTATTAAACAGTGTGTATTACGTCTATCGGTCTGCGCATTCAAGAAATCTTTGGATAGAAAATGCTTTCCGCCAACACTGTAAGAGAAACCATCGTTTTATTTAGTATGCTTTACCGTTCAGCCACGAAGAATGATGCTGCAAGCAAGGTTCTATTTTCACTTTTTAAGGAAACCCAGATTATTTTCTTCAGATCTTCGTATCGGTTCAGTTTCGTATCCGAAACGTACACAAAGAAATTTACAGAAAATTAATTGATATATTTTTTTTATTATTATTATGAGACGTCTATTTCAAATAGGGGGTATCCACTATAATAACGTTTCAATAAATAAAATATCGAATTAAAAAATACAAATCCATCATATATATATATATATATATATATATATATATATATGTGTGTCTGTGTGTGTATGGGGAAGGTGCCTGTACGTATGTATATATCGTATTAACTAGATTAATGTGCAAGTTTTAATGATTAGTGTTTTTACACACACAAAAAAGTTCACAATAGTGGTATTTTTTTGAATAGCTGAAAAACCATACAAAAATCAGGTGTGGTACTGTACACGAAGTCGACTAATACACAAGTATATACGGTGTGTGTGTGTGTATATATATATATATATATATATTATTTATTTTAGAATATTAAAACAAAAACATGTTAACAATCGCTACACAATTATGTTTCAACATTACAAATATATCTCCTCGATCGATGTTAAACTACTGGCGAGTGGACGATTATTTTAACTTCAAAATAATTATATTATATATATATATATATTGAATCTTTTTAATTCGACATTATTTCTGATTGCTATATTTCATAATTATTTTTCACGAGAAAAGATATTTGAATTGACATTCTAGTTATTTGGAACAGTGAAATTAATGTCAACTGGCATAGAGATTGAGAGTCCTACCAGAGAAAAATTGGAGTGGAAGCATTTGGTGTCTATACCGCACGGGACTATGGAGTATGTGCAATTTGCATCTGTGAGCGCTGTTGTATTCTCTCAGCATATACGTATGTATGTGTATGCGTGTGTTTACGCCCCTGCATACGTGTTATCGGAATACTGAATATATATATATATATATATATATATATAGTGACGTTATTGTGCGTGTGTATTCATGCGTCTATGGAATGAGAAAGCTTGAGTCAACTATTATTCACAGGATATTTGTTGAGGAGATGGGCACTGCCAAGTCACCCCGTTTACTATCTGAGGCGCCATAAAATTCGCAAAGCAATCTGAACAACATTTGGGTCATGGACCAACCAAAGTTGGTAAAAAAAAAAAAATTCAAAAACCTTTTTAATTTTATTTTTGTGGGTGGGTTGCTTCCTGCTGAGGATCCAATTCTGTTTTTTTAAAAATATATATATATATATATATATATATGTGTGTGTGTGTGTGTGTGTGTGTGTGTGTATAAAGAAAATCTACCTCATCTGTTTCGTTGCATGGCCTGTCGCCATCACTGGCAGACACTTTTTATTTATTTGTCTTCAGAGTTTGCTGACTTTTCTTTTGCCCATTGAATTTTACACAGTGCTTAAAAGAAATTCCCCATTTTTTTCTCTCTGAATGGGGGGGGGGAAAGAAATGAAATAAAGGAAAGCTTTGTTGTTCTTTTTACTGTTTATTCTATGAGTGATGTGCTTTGGAAATAAACACGAAGAAAAGAAAATATTTGACAATAAATGTAACACTTATCTTTGGCATTCAAATCTCTATTATTAATATATTATTCTCTAAGCTTATTTCATGCTTGCTTAAATCTACTTTCTTGGCATTGTATAAAGAAACTGTAGCATCCGCAACATGTTAGGCATCTGTAGCTATCAAAAACTCAGCGGAAAAAATGTCTAAAAATCATCGAAGTAATTTTTAAAAAAGAAAAAAATATTAAATTCAATGCTCGTCCATTTTGCAATTCAAAAATTGACATTTTAATTCCTCTGGAACCTAAATAAAGTCCTTAATTGTTAAGCGTCATATTTTTCATAATTTTTATTTTAATAATGATAAAAATGGGATGTTAAATTTGATATTTAAAATCACTTTCTTTCGAATAGATTCATTTTTCTCATTTATTTTTTTTAAAGTTTAATTAACTCTTGCCTCATTTAGAAAAAAGATTTCTGCTAATTTCTAATCTCGAGCAGTAACTACCAATCTGTCATGTCTCTTGAACCAAAACATTGTATATTTCTTTGCTAAAACCGTGTCACACTGCTTTTTCCTGCCCCAAGCAAGGCGATAATGTCACTAAGACGCAAGGGATTACTAAAAATGAAAGAGATTAAGAAAACTCTAACGTGGAGAAACAAAAATAGAAGAATAGTTTTCAGGAAAACAAAAAATGGCGATTGACCTTGTATTTAAACTTTTGAAGAACTTAGGTGGCAGAGAAGCAAGTAACTGGAGGCGAGTTCAACAGATGAGAAGTGCGAGAAAAGAAACTATTAGAATAGAATTTACGGTTACATCTGGCGATTTCAACAGTTAATCAATGAGACTTAGTCTTCAATCTAATAGTAAGCTTAAATTCATGCGGTCAAGGTCAGTCAATTTGTCAGTTATGTGCCATGCGCGATACACGCTTAGACGATCATGTATCTTTTTTCCCCGCAGTAGGTTGCGATTTCTTTCTGCGGTAGACCAGTTGCCATCCAAGGCTGTAGAATCCGGTCTGCCCTGCTATTTACCCATAGCTAGGGGGAGAAGAAGAAGATCCATACCTTTCCCACCAAACTTATTAGAACGGCTGCCATAATAATGTCTATAGAGTGAGTGTTTTGTTTTTACGACTTACCAACCTTTTGCAGGTTATTTAAAGCCAGAGAATATTTTTTTTTAGATTGCAAGACATTTTTTTTAAAGATAATAATTATTTATTGATAAAATTACTATTAATTAAACCATAGATGTGGGGAGGAGAAAATCTGGATTCATACCAAGGGCATTTGTGCATAAGTGAATATAACATACTTGACTGGAATTGGAATTCGGCTCTCCGATTACCAATTCCGAGCCGTTATCCGTTACACCACTCGCACATCCAAGCTTACAACACCTGGTATTTCCTAAGCGGTCACCCATCTAGGTACTGACTAGGCTTGACGTTGCTTAAATTCGGTGACCGTAGGAGAACCGTTCTTTCAACGAGATATGGCTGTAAACCTGAAAATATTTATAGAAAAGACAGAGAGAAGCCAAGTGATAGCGGTGTGAAAGTCATTGACGTCGACAGGCCAGATTTGAACAGATAATATTGCAGACCATTCTTTGGAGTTTGCCGAGAATCTCAAGATGTATAACAGGAACACAAAAAAGACTAACTTATCTCCCTTGGCCTAAAATAAGAACATGTTTCATTCAAAAAGTAGAAAGATTACATTTATCTCGGAAATAATTAGATACTGAAATTTAAATGAAACTTTATATTCAGAATATAGTCTTTATATTCAGAATATAGTCGACCATTTCTCTCCATACCGATGCGATAATTTCTGTCTAGTAATGATAATTCGTCATCAAACAAATTTAGATAGAGATATCCTTAGTCATGTAGAAAAGAATAAAAACAATCTGATAGATAATATTTTGATTAAATATATCTTTTAAGACCAAAGTGTCAGTTGTTTGTTTTCCATCTTCAAATGCGACTGGAAATTATTTCCAACCCAAGACATATACATAACACAGATAACCGAACTCTAAAAGTTGACGAGAAGACTTAATTGATATTTTTTTTCACATATTTCTATTTCTGAAATTTAAGGCTATATCACGTTGAAACATCGGTTCCCGTACAATCACTAAAATTAAGCAACGTCGAGCTTGGTCAATACCTATATGGGTAGCCGCTTGAGAATACCAAATGCTGTAAGCTTGGGTGTGCGGGTGGTGTAATGGATAACGACTCGGAATTTGAAATTAGAAAACCGAGTTACAGTTCCAGGTAGGTTCGTTATATTCACTTACGCGCAAATACCCTTGGAAAAGGCATGAATTCACCTTCTCTTCCCCTGCCAGGTATGGGTTAATAAGATTTGTATCACTAAAATCATTATCACTTCCCCACCCAGATAAACGAAAAAATTTCTTACAATGTAAAAATGTTTTCTGGCTTTAAATAACCAACAAAGCTTTGATAAACCGTTGAAAATCAATCGTTTTGCTAAAAATTAGAAAAAGAAAATTTCATTAGAAAGAAAGAAGAGGGAGCTGAACTGCTACGTGTTATCACTTCTTCTATTTGAAAGTGAATCCTCGCTCTTCAGAGGCAATCAAAGACAAAAATAAGTGCAGATCTGATCTATACTGCTAATTTCCTGGTAGTAATGTTTTATCTCCTCCCACAAATTTTTAATCTTTGTGCACATACTTTTGTCCTCGACTGACTCGGAAGAGCGAGGAGCTATCACCCGTTAGCCATTTTTGGTTATTTCTTTTTTTGTTGTTATATTTTTTCGACCGACCACTTTTCTGGTCAGTTTTTTTTTTGTCCTTGTTTTTCCGCCTCTTTGTTTTATATATTTTGTATACATCTATAGATATTTTTAAAATGCCCCTTTTCTAAAACTTCAATAATAAAAAATATATTCTTAGTCTGCTTGCATAATAAAACCCTACACCTTTCAAACAAACTATCCATACCTTTATTAACGATACATATGAATATATTGCTGTAACCTAGGGAAGGTGACTAAATAGAATAATCAAACGGAGATTGGTAATGAACGATAATAGTCAAATGTGGCACAAGGCCGAATTTAATGTGGGGTATCCAAAAATTCCCCGTAGAACCCATATAAAACGGGGTCAGGTAGCTGTTTCCCGAGACGAGACTCTGCCCTTCGACATAGCCTCGTCTTGGGATCCTCTCTGCCTCCGGGCAGAGAGTTTGACCAGCACAGGTGGAAACGAATCTCCAACTGAAAACCAATGTACACTATTTACTACTGTATTTATATGAATGGAGACATACCCATTATCGTCCGTAGGTCTGCTACAGCATATATGATGAAAAAAACTTACCAACATTGACCAGTTAATACCAATTGTATTGCAAAAACATTGTATGCTGTCAGATTTTATGAAACGCGTCAGACTTGCTACACATGGCGAAACACACACACACGTTACATAGAGAAACGTATAGGAATAAAATTCCGATTAAGACAAAGCTACCGATTCATAAAAGCGAAATCTATTGGGAGGAGTTTCTATCAAAGGGGGGAAAAAACAAAAAGCAGTTATATAACTTGTAAATATACAGACCACATAAAAAAGAAGAAGAAATAAAATCGACATTGTTTGTGCAAAACATTCCACTTTGCTTTTGCCATTGATATTCAGTCATGGAAGATGGTAGCATTCTAAAAGAGAACTTGGCTTTGATCGACAAAGGAGAATGTAAAAAAAAAAAAAAAAAACTACTTGACTGTCTCCCTGAAGCTTATAGCTTAAGGGGTCTCAAGGAGTATGATCTAGGGATTGTTTACATTTTTAAAGGCTAAAGAGAGAGAGAAACTGTTAAAGAAAGCATCTGCAAAGCTAATATAAATTCTCATAAGGTTTCACTGGAATTGTTTACTTGTGATGAAATAAGATTCTTAGCTCATCCCCTGTGTACCTTCCCACTGTAGAGGTTGCTTTCCTATGACCCGAGACGCGTATATAGCAAACTACGAAGATGAAACACTTAAAATGAAAGTTTGCCTGACAATATTTCTAAGTTTCTTTTTTCATTTATTTTATTAAGATGCAAAAATATTACAAGTCACCCTTGCCATTTGTAATAATAGCCACATATTGAGTAACAAGCACATGTTGCTTACGTTTCTCCTTTGAAACACTAAATAAATATTTGTCTATGCATTGATCTGAATCAAACGGTAAAGAACATTTGGAAGATGCTGTATCTTTAAGACATAATTACCGCCACTAGGGTCTTGAGATAAAATTCGAGGTAGTTCATATTTTTGGTCGAACTTTTTCATATTCTGTGGCAGATAAGCGACATACATGGAAAACTAAAAAAATAAACATTGTTTACCGTATTTGCATTGTTCGGAATGTCCACATCTTTATACTCATATTCACTACCTTTCGGCCACTCTACATTCCAGCCTTCTTCAGGAATTTCAAACCCCGAGAATAGCAAATGCTGTAAGCTTGGATGCGCGTGTGGTGTAATGTATAACGACTCGGAATTTGAAATTGGAAAACAGAGTTACAGTTACAGTTAAGTTCGTTATATTCACTTACGCGCAAATACTCTTGGAAAATGCATCAATATATCTCTTCTCTCCTCCCCAGATATGGGTTAATTAGTAAGATACGTATCACTAAAAGTATCATCTGCCAATCCCCCAAAAAGAAAGGTTCTTACAATCTTAAAATAGTTTCTGCAAACCTGAACGAGAACACTGTAATGATGGATAGATAATATGTTGATTAAATATATCTGTCAAGACTAAAAAGGCAACTGTTTCCTTTTTCCTCTTCAAATGCGACAGGAATTTCTCTCCAATTTAAGACCAGCACATGACACAAAATCCTGACAACAATCCGGAGTCTGGATTCAGAGTCAGCATGTTTCAAAGTCAGTATTATTTTTTCTACCTATTTTATTACATTTTTTGTTTTGCCAATGATCGGTTTATATTATATAACCATTTAGTTACATAGGTTAGAAATAAATCATGTTGGACGACCTTTTTCTGATAAAAAAAATGAAAAGAAAAAAAATGACATGACGAATAAACTATAATATTTTGTGATATAAGGGATATATTAAATTTAGCATGAAATTTGTTGAAAAATAGAAAAGGAAGAAAATATTGTAGTGTCTCCCTGGACCACACAAAGAGTTTTTTATATATATATATATATATATATATATATATATATATATATATATATATATATATATATATATATAGGCAGAGTGGCTTGGATTGAGGAATCGTAAGAGCCGAGTTCGAATTCCAGTCGAATCCATTACATTCACTTACGCGCTAATACCCTTGGGAAAGGTATGGATCCTCTTCCTCTCCTTCCAGCTATGGGTAAAATAGCAGGACAGACTGGGTTCTATAGCCTTGAATGGCAATTGGTCTAGGAGAAGGACAACTCTGAATTCAAAACCTGCGAAGGGTCGTTTGGGAACCTTGTGGCACTCGGTGCACCAGGTTCCTGTATTCATCCCTTCAAAAAGTGTGGCTGGTCCTGCACAAAACCTTCACCACTATAATCAAATCTCATGTGCCGGTGTCGGGGTGTCGGGCTGTCGGTTTCCTGGAAACTGATCTGCTTGACCCTCATACGTCGAATCTCGACGGGAGAGTCGACTATATATATATATATATTAATCGGTATCGCTCCAAGCAAGGCAGTACAGCCACTATAATGCAAGGGGTTACAGGGTATGAAGGAATTAGGAACAGAACAATTGGTAATGAGGAGAAAGAAAAGAACAACCAGATAGCGATTGACATTGCATTTAAATTTGAGTAAAATTAATTGGAAATCACGGAGCCGGGAGGGAGTTCCACAAGCGAGAAGTACGGGATAAGAAACTGTTAGTATAGAAATTACGTCTATGTCTAACTAGGCCAACTGTAAATTGATGAAATCTCGCCACCAGTCTAGTACTGCGCTTGAATTCGTACAGTCTCGGTACCATAGCGAAGTGCTTAAAAAAGATCCTACTGCAGTATTAATGGTCCTGAGCTGGCATCTCGGCTTCAGTTACTTTCCCACAGCTGTAATGTAGCTCACCATTGCTTATTCTAAAAACACTTCCAAAGTAATTGTTCTGGTGAAGTTTCCTCTATGGCACCGAGACTTTATGAATTTAAGCGCAGTACTAGATTAGCAGCAAGGTTTGATCATCTTACAGTTGAAATGTATAAAATTAACCGTAGGTTCTATGCTAACAGTTTCTTCTATCGCTCGTCTCGCTTGTGGAACGCTCTTCCGTCTTCTTGCTTCCTTGTCAACTTTCATCGCCAAAAATTTAAACGTAATGTCAATCATTATCTTTGATGTCCTTAAATTTTGTTCTTTTATTGTGCGCCATTCTTTATAGTAGGTTTTCTCATATTATATGCATTTCAGTAACCCCCTTGCGTCTTAGTGGCTTTATTGTCTTGCTTGAGGTGAAATGATTTTTGAAGAAATCATACCGAAAAATGCGATGGTCCAACTGATTGTCCGAATTCTACTCCCGTCTCCCACGACGAAAAAAAAAACTGATTTCCTTGAAATTGAAACATTTTATCGCATAAAGACGGGATAGTATTGTACCAATAAGATTCTATCTGAATTTAATTCAGTTTAATTCAAATTCTCCAGCATGCTTATTTTTTTTTTTATTAATGCTTCTCTTATGAAATCCCATAATATTTTTAAAAACATTTTTTCGCACTTACCGTATAAGGGCATTGATTCTTTCATCTTTATCTTCTGCCTTCACAGTAAGGACTGGAGAATTCACTGGTTGATTTTCTTCAATATAACCGGTGTATTGCGTCTGCAGAAACGTAGGTGTGTTGTCATTGACATCCTGGACTTCAATATTGACAGTTCCTGTTCCTGTTAGAGGAGGGGAACCTATAAAAACAGAATAATAATAATAATAATAATGACAATAAAAACAATAAAATAAAAGACTACTAAAAGAAAATGTACAGCCTTATGCAAAATAATTGAAAAAAAAAACAACGAATAATTCGTTATTATTTAATTTATTTTCGTATTTTTCTAATGAAACATGACCCAGTGCACATGCTAGTACTTCGTATGTCAATTCCACGAAGTCGTTCCTTGCAGATTGACTACAGATTGAATTTAAATCAGGATAGTTTCCGGGCCAATCTATAGTATTTTATTTTGTTCACTGGCAAGGCCTGCCAGTGTGTTCGTGCGGCGTTACAATTTTCGTACGCTTCCTTGGAGTAACGACCATCGCAGACAATAGCCGTAGGACAACTAATCGACAGTCGAGACAATAGTATTTGGGCGCGATGAAAATCTTTTGTATTCACGGATGACGCAATATTTTTCATGGCCAAATAAATTTCATCATACACTCCGAAAATAGCTTCATATTACTGCACACTACTGTAAATGACCTAATCTGAGGAAAAAATACAAAGCGATTATACCCTGTCATTCCAGTGGCTCTGAAACTGCCCGTATGGTGAAAGAAAGGAAACTAAAGCGGTTGTTTCAATTATTTTGAAATTAATTATTTATAAAGGTGAACTTTCCTGTTGATATGGCAGTTCCTGCGGACCAGTGGCAGATCTGCTATGAAAAATTCAGGGCCCCTAATCTCAATCCCAGAGGGTCCCCTTAAACAACTTTTTTAATGAGTTAAGTGTTATTAAGATAAGGTCATTTTAGTAATAGAATCACAAGCCAATCTGTTGAAATAACTTATGTTAGTCTTAGAATATGCTATAATACCTATTTCATATGGCCTCAAAATTCCTCTGTTGTTGGTCAAATTTCAAAATTTTTTTGGTAGCTTGCAACGCCCGAAGCTCCAGCTGCTTGAGCTCATTGAGCCCGGCAGAAGGGGCTCCTATATCTGTTCAAGCTTTAGAGCCCCCAAAATATAGGCCCGACACTGCTACAAACTGTAGTGTAGATTTGCAGATCGTAAAAATCTATCAAAATACAGGAGTCTTGAAAGGGAAGTTTGACAAATGTGGCGCATGATGACAGCAAAATTTCTAGTTGTGGTTGGGGCTTTGGGCTTGATTGGAAAAGGTTATGATAGACTAACTGAAGCCATGTCACGAGACATTGCTAAGCGCTACAAATGATAGGAAGTTGTGGAGAGTCGTGTTCTGAAGAGATACGGCGCATAGAAGTAGTATGAAACCAATGCAAAGTATTATGAGATTGTTTAATATAGTTAAAATAATGAAAAGGTGTTGAACTGTTACGTTATACCGACACTACTATATGGCAGTGAATGTTGGACAATCTCTTCACAGATGAAGAAGACACTTGAAACGACAGTGATGTGGTTCTACAGGCAAATGCTAAGAATACCATGAACTGAACATGTGTGTAACGGGGAAGTTTTAAGGAAAGCAGGAACTGCGAAGATACTGACACTTACGACCAGAAAGAAACAATTGAAAATTAACCATCTATGTAGTGTACTAACATACAACGGGTACATAGGGATAGCGAAAGATGCCTTCCAAAAACTAAGCAATGTATTAAGAGATAAAAAAATTTTTATTAGCGATGTGGCGTTATTGACGGATGCTGAGAATATAATGGACAGTACCTGAGAGCAACGAGTAAATTTTGAAGAAAATAGAAAGGAAAAAAAAAATCAGATTTACAATTAGAAAGAAATAGCTCATTATATCTGGTTTGCATATTGAAGACAGGGAGCCTAGAGAATGTGACCCTCACAAGGCATACTGAAGGCAAGAGAAGCAGGGAGAAACAACGAGCAAATTAGGCATCGAGTTTGAGTGAATGGATGGCAGAACAAAGACAAAGAGTGACATTAATCAGGCAAAAGTGACTTAGAGCAACAAGAGTTAGGAAGTTGTGGAGAATCATGATCGTACAGTCTCTGAAGCGATAAGACAGCTATAAGTACTCCGATGTAATTAAATACGGATTTTATAGGTAAACCAAAGCATACATGCAGTGTGGCTGGATACGGATGAGAAGCTAAAACATCGAATAAATTGTACTAATATCCTTGGAATATCATGGTAAGCGTTTGGTAGAACAAAAGTAGTTCTCTTCAGAATAACAAAGTACCTTACAGATATAGATATCAGCTTAAAATTATACACTCAAATGTCAAGAAGCATTCAGATTGTTAGAAGAAGACGATACCATTTCATTAAACCAACTTTTGTTAACCATGGCTATGAATAAGATGTCTTGAGATTAACTGAACATTTTTACGGCTTATCAACACTTTGTGGGTTATTTAAAGCCGAAACATATTTTGGGTTGTAAGTATAATTATTTTGGCGGGGGAATACTGCATGAACAGATTTTTAAGACTATTTTTTTCTAGACACAAGTCCTACTCTTTAACCCATAGCTGGGGAAGATAATGGATTCATACCATTTCCAAGGTACTTTGCGCATAAGTGTATATCGCGAACCTAAATGGTATTCCAAATCATTTCTTAAGGACTCATTTATCAATCACTTTTAGTAATTGTTATATTACAATAGTGGTTAGGGACTTTTTTTTTTAGTAGTTTTATATATTGCATTTAGTAATGTAAGATTACAAAAGAATTAATTATAAATCTTGTTCCGAAGCCTGTTATTAGAATCAAAGTCTTTTTAACTGAATCCCAATCACTTCCAGAGTTCCGACAAATTTGTTAATGGTAGTAAGAAAGAAAACTGTTTAAGCAGGCTTTCACCAATTCTTGTGCTCACCCGAAATGAATGGTTTTCTCATACAAAGCTATGTTTTGTAGTTAACGTCATCAAAAATCTAACGCCTCCTTGGAGTTTTAGCCTTTAATTTTTCTCACTACCTCCTTTGAGATTTTGAAATATTGTTCCTCTCATTCCGTTTCTAACTACTGGACAATTAAAGATGTCAGAAGATGTAAGTTACTGCTTTGAATGGAATATAAAACACACACACACACACATACATATATGTATGTGTGTGTTTGTGTGTGTGTATGAGGAGGAGGAAGTAGGTGTGTGTGTATATATATATGTATATATATATATATAACGCTTTTTCTTGAAAGAAAATAAAGATTAAAATACGTGTGCAAATTTCCTCTGAATGGTCGAAGGAAAGATTTACAGATTGAAACTACATGGGTCATATTTTCCTTAGGTTTTCAATGCATGTATATTAGGAATTTCAATCGAGAAACAAAGGATTGCTTCAGAGAGAAGTGAAAAAGAATGAGAAAAAAAAATGTAGAGAAAGAGAGTAAGCTATAGAGAGAGAGAGGAGAGAAAAGAAAGAGGCGGCAAAAGAGAGAAAGATAACGGAGAGAGAGTAAAAATATATTTTTATCACAAGTATATGATATAAGAAAACAGATTAATTTCTTCGCGTCTCCATCTCGCTAAGGGAACGAAAAAAAATACGGAGACAAAGAGGAGGAGGGCAGGCAAAGGGTGAAACAGTGAGGAGGTAGAAAACAAACAAGATGAGAGTGGGAGTGATAGGAGAAGGCAAAGGCAGACATTATGATGGGGGAAAGGCTAAGGCATAAGGCGAATCATGGAAGGAGAAAGCAAACGGAGACACCAGGAGAAGGTATTACAAAGGGTGTGGGGGAGGCAAAAGGAGACAGTGTGACGTACTGGCAAAGAGAGACAGCTAAAAGTGGTAAGGGTAAAGCAAAGGGAGACACCGTGAGTGGGGAAAAGAGGAAAGCTGAGAAGTTACAGGGGTAAAGAGGAGAGACATGAAAGAGACAAACACAAGGAGGCTATGAAAAAAGAAAGGCAAAAAGAGATACAGGGGAGGAAAGAGGAGGAAAGAAAAAGTGAAACGCGGGGAAGGAGGACGAGGAAAAGTAGAGGGAGACACAAGGAAGGAGAAGTGCGGAGTAAACTTGAGACAGAATGAGAGGGGCGCTCAAATGAAATGGAGAACAGAAAAACGAGAGAAGAAAAAAAAGGAAAGAAAAAGCAGCCCAATTAAAAAAAAAAGAAGATAAATTAAATTTTAAAGACGGTTTAATTTCAACTGTCGTGGAGTAGAACTTAAAGAATTTTTTAAAATTTACGAACATAAAACTAGAAAAAACAACAACAAAAAAAAAAAAAAAACGATTAATCGACACTAAAATTCTTGCCAATTTGGAGAAAATGGTGGGGTTACTTCAATGGCTCCACTCAACAATTCAACCAAATTCTCATGTCACTAGCAGTGAATTAGACTCTTTGATAGTCTTATCTTAAACAGTTTTTCCCTCACAAAGAAAACGCCTTCCAACCACAGGAACTATATGCAACTTTGATTTCCAGACCAAATTCCTCATCATCTACAACCCTTAATAAAAATCGTTCTTATCAAGAGCGCTATGCTTTCTACTGCCGCATCTTTATGTTCCAAAGATGTCAGAAGCATATGACTACAAAGGAGAAATTTCTTTTAACCAAACTCTTGACACTTGCTGTTGAACCTTGTCAAAACATTGATTCAGCCTACTAAATCATCGGTTCTATTGCCCGGATATGGTCGATAGCATTCATTACCAGAATTTCTCTTCAAGAGAAGAATGTTCTTTTTCCATTTTTAGCCAGTCATACACTAAAATCATTCATCTCAGTAATAGCGCAGGAAACTGCGGTCCAAACCTTTGAGGTCCAGATTCAATCATTAGATATATAATAAATTGTCTTGAGAAAATAATAGAGATATATTATTTAATGGCAAGCAAATAAGATTCTTCTGATGAGTACATCGTACTTGTAAAATTTATGATAATAACGGAACATGCAGATTTATATTGTGGAGACTTTCGACAAATGATGTTGTCAACCACACTGGCCCGACATGAGCGCAAATGGGCATTTATGTGATATGGTGAAATGGTTTATTTGTACACAATATTCGACACTTGCAAACATCAAGGATCTTTAGATGGTTAATAAGGCGTGGCTCAAAATCTCTCTTCAGGTATCCGACAATTTGTGGAATCGTTACTAAGTCGATTTGCAGCAGTTCTTCCCATACAAGAGAAGATCCCACAAGAATTAATGGATTTACTTTTAATTCGACATTTTTATTACTTTAGACGTTATCATAGTGAATACTTCGTATTTGATATAGACGCCCCATTTTTATTTATTTAACAATGTGTGTAATACGTCTACTGGCCTGCGTATTCAAGAAAAATGGGTGGGGGAACGCATATTCTTTACTTTTTTCGAACGCACAGGCCGATAGACGTAATACGCACTGTTTAATAAATAATAAGTAGGCGTCTATCGTGTAAACATCGGCTTAATGTATAGTGCGAACCCTGAATATTTTTGTGTGAATTTTAACCCTTCTAGAAAAAAAAAACATTACCTGCGTATAGTTAAACCAGTTACCGAAAATGCATGGATTTTAAAATTTACAAAAAAATTAACAGTGTATCATACGAGCCTTATTTTTATTATTTTTTGTGGAAAAACTGACCATTAAAATATGCACTCTACTCAAGTATATACAACTGAAGTAATAATAATAAAGATATATATATATATATATATATATATATGAGAACTTAAATAAACCAACAAAATCACACTATCCGTATAAACTATGCTCTGTTGAAATTTTCATGAATAGAAGTTATTATATGACAACTCAGAGAGTAAAGGTTTCCCACAATGAAGCGATCCTCAGATGCTTCAAAATGCTTTACTGTGTGAAACTTTATTCACGGTAAAGTATTGCCCCTTGGCTTTTCTTTTGTTTTATATATATATATATATATATATATATATATGTGTGTGTGTGTGTGTGTGTGTGTGTGTGTGTGTGTGTGTGTGTACGTGTGTATTATTTTACAAACTACATCTAAAATAATGGGAACGCATGAAAATTTCCTGACGGCATTTTCATGTTGAGAGAGTTAAACTATTTATTCATTTTACATTTACGTACATATAAATTACATTTAACTATTCTTTGATATGTCAAAAAAAAAATCAAAACTTGGATCGTAAAATAAAGAGAATTAAGTAAAGACGTGAGAGTCATTAATTAAAAGCCCACAGACTTCATAACAAGACGTTTTCATCTATCCAGGGGCAAGCGTTTGAAGAAGAAAAAAAAATGCAGAGCTTAACTACGCTAGCGAGATTAGACTAACAATGACAAAAATTTAGAAAGTAACGTGACCCTTATTCCCTGTCGTGAGCTAAGCCTTTCTTTATTTAAATGTTGCTTTTTATCCCAGCTATTTTTTTTACGTCAAATACCGCCCGGCCATTCAAATAAGCAAAGTGATGTTCGAATGAACAATCGGATTCTAACGAGACTTGAGCTTATATCACGTATCTTATGTTAAGTCCTTCAACTACAAAAGCTTACTTATAGATGGGGTACAAATCTGAAATTATAATCAGATAGGACCAAATCGATTTGCCTATCGTAAAATTCACACCCCTCCCAAGTCTTTTGAACAGGAGTAGAGGTTTATCCCTTGTTTCCTGTTTAGGATTAGTCTTCCGGTTGCTTCTGAAGTCTACTTCAACTCTAAATTAACTTTTGTTTGCAAATTGACACATTTGAAATGGGTCGTTTTGATCGATTTTACTTTATAAAAATCGATTCTGATCAATATAATTTCTGTTTGAAATACACCAGAGTATTTTGCTTACTGGAAATAGTAATTTTTAAATCCTTTAGCTTTCCATTAAAGCTAAATTAAAAGCTTCAATGAAGCTTTTTCATTTAAAATAAAAAAAATCATTTTAAACCTTACGCATACCGAATTAGTGAAGGTATCTATTCTAAAGTCTACTTCAACTCTATACTTCTATCGTCATCGATGAACTATGAACTTTCATTTACTAATTATTTTTCTCCTCAATAAAATTAGGCAGGTTCGTTTAACTCTCGCTTCATACCCCTCTTCGGTCTTTTGAACAGGAGTAGAGGTTTATCCCTTAGTTTTGTGTTTGGGTTTAGTCTTTGTTCTAAAATCTTAATTCTCTTTCACTCTCATTTATCTCCCTTGCGTCTTAGTATCATTATCGCCTTTCTTAGGGTGAATTGTTTAAAAAAAAAAAAAGAAGAAAAGAAAATCTGTACCAGTTTTCTATTGTTTACCAAATATAAGTTCCGCCACTATTAACTACCCCCCCCCACAATCAGCCCTCCCCGCTTATTTAGTAAATTGAAATATTTCCACCTATGGCTATTTCAGGCTGTATTCGTTTTTATTACAGAAGTGTATGAAAGAAACTTTATGTTAACAGAATTTTTACACTAATTCTTTTACTTAAATTGCCAACGATGTCTTCGTTTTTTTGGTTTTTTTTATCCATTTGTATATTTCATTTCTTTTGTATGCTTTACTTTCATTGCAAATTTTCCTATCCGAAATAAATTTTATTAGATTTTGCTGATGGAAACGTATAAATGAATAAAAAAAAAATTTAAATAATAAATAGATACATTTAAGAAAAAAAATAAATGCAATCCAAATGTCAGGATCAGAAATAACCTAAAACATTAGTTCGAGAAAAAGAAAAGACTGATTTTCTATCTCCTCGATATAATCCCTCGGTGGCCTATATATCAAGCCGACTAAACGTGTAGTGAATGCGTCTGAAGATTGCTAAAGGCTGACAGTTACCATGCAGCATTGCTTCTTTTGTCCACAATGTTTATATCCATTAAAATTCTTCTTCCGATATTGAACACGCAAAAAAAAAAAAGAAAAAAATACTCTCTACTCCAAAACTAAGCTAGAAACCTTTCATCATCACCAAGGACAATATGTGCGAAATGAAATGCAGCAACATCGGTTGGCGTTTGAACCTCGGCTGCTGATTCCGTTTTTCTGTCTGTAAGCGTTACGCTATTTCATAAGGCGTCATCAATATTTCTAAACAAAAACGAATTGGGATTTTCCCTATAGAAAGGTTTATGAGTAAAAACACAAAGATTAAATATGATCTTAATTGTTGATTATCAAATGCTGTTAGAAAATGAAAGACATGATGCTCGGGTTTGCCACTGAGAGCTTAAAACGCACTGAAACCTTAAAAGGATTGCCTCCAGTAATATATCTGAGTCTAGAAGAATTTTACTGTTGCAACGTGTGTGTGTGTGCGCGCGTAGGGAAGGGGGTCATTATTTCCCGGTTTTGTTTTTGGCCGGTCCCATGAGAGAAAGGTTAGATCGGGTGAGAAGAAGAATTTTTCATTCGCTTTTTAACATTCGTGCTGATACACATGGCTCATTTTTTTAACGATAAGCGCAACCACACACACAAACACACACATATATATATATATTAAACATCACTGAATATATAAACATAAATACAAGCCTATATATATATATATATACACACATATGCATGAAGCTGTATAAATGTACAGACATGTCTATACATAAATATGAATACTGATATATCTGAGTCTATAAGAATCTTACTGTTGTCCCGCTTGTGAATGTATGAGAGGCGTCATCATTTTGTTTTGGCCGGTCCCATGGGAGAAAAAGTTAGATTGGGTAAGAAGAATTTTTCATTCGCATTTAACATTCGTGTTGATACATATGGCTCATTTCTTCAGCGATAATTATATATATATATATTTATATATATATATATGCGTGTAGCTACATAAATGTGCAGGCATATTCATACTAATACATATACATACATAAACTGGACACATACATACACGTGTTCATGTAGCTGCATAACTATACACACGTACATATGGTTATAAATATATATATATATATATATATATATATATATACTGATTTTAAGCTGTTGCTTAGATGTGGCACAAGGCCAGAATTATAGGGCACCCAGTGAGAGTCGAAGTCACTCTCCAGATGTAACTGTTTTGTGAGACAAGTTTTGCTAAACATTACACAACCATCAGGCGCCCATTATATATCTATATCTATCTATCTCTCTTTATATATATATATATATATATATATATATATATATATATATATATATGTGTGTGTGTGTACACACAATATATATATATATATATATATATATATATATATATATATATATCTAGAGAGAGAGAAAGAGAAAGATACAGGTATCTATACACACATAACTATATATGCTAACACACGGATATATATATATATATATATATATATACACTCGTATGTATGTAGTGATTATGTTTTCTTTTTCCCTTTACTTTATGACACTCAAGAAGTGGAAAACGGTTAAACGGCAATTCTCGTCTTCATTTTGGCTCTGTGCAATTTGATGAATTACTTTATTCCTTGAAGACATATTTTCTACAGATGGATGACCCCGCCTACCTACCTCATCCCCGCAACAAAAGCAGCGGGAATTTTAAAAGCTAACAAAATCATTTAACAAGCTCATCTCACAACCATTCATTTTATGTTCCACTTACGTCCGTCATCCGAGAGAATTTCTTCCCTTTCTCAATAATAACGAGGTTTTATGACATAATTGATCTTTGAAAAAAAAATATATATATCTATATAGACGTCCAAGGAGAGAAGGAAGAGAAAAAAGAATATAATGGAAGACATATGTATTTTAAAAACAGGAGTGGGCGGGTTAGTGCAAGAGAATGAAGAAGCCAATACTAATGGAGATTAAAGAGATATAAGAAGGAGATAAAATGGAATAGATAAAAGCTCGAAGGTAGTGGGCTCGAAGGGAAGCCAAAATTAAGCGCGATAGACCACAAGGACACGCAAAGATGTGAACTGAATGGACTAAAAGAGGATTGGAAGGAGATGGTCCTATTATAAAGACGGAGGGTGGGGAGAAAGAATTAAACCAAATGGACTATAAGCACGGAAACAGACAAAACTAATGGACCAATATGAGGTCGAAGGGCAAAGACGGCATGAATATGCTTACTTAGAGACTGCAAAACCTAGGGGATGAAAAAGCATTGTTGAAGGGGGGGGAGGGTGCATCGGGTCAAGGAAGGTGCAGCAAGAGACGGGAACATCGGCCACTCTATGTGCAGATGGAGACGGGAGCATCGATCCATGGGAGGAGGTGCGGGAAGAGACGGGGACATCGGGCCACGGAAGGTGCGTGAAGAGACGGGGACACAGGGCTGCAGGTGGTGCGGGAAGAGACGGGGTATCAGGCCACGGATGGTGCGGAAAGAGACGGGAACATCGGGCCAAGAAAGGTGCGGGAAGAGACGGGGACATCGGGACAAGGGAGGTGCGGGAAGAGACGGGGACATCGGGACAAGGGAGGTGCGGGAAGAGACGGGGACATCGGGACAAGGGAGGTGCGGGAAGAGACGGGGGCATCTGGCCACGGGAGGTGCGGGAAGAGAGAGGGACACTTAATAGGCGAAAAGAGACAGAAGTATTGGGCCACGTGAGGGACGAGAATAGAGGGTCCAATCGGGTTACTGGAGAAGAGGGAAGAAACGAGAGAATCGAGCCACGAGGAGAACGAGAAGAGACGGGTGAATCGTGCCGGGTGGGGGAACGAAAAGAGTCGGACACAACGGGTCACTAGACAAATGGGCTACATTAAGCGTCAAAAGAGGAGAAACGGGAGCATCGCCCTACAGGAGTTGCCTGAAGAGACGGGAATATCGAGTCATGGTAAGAGCGGGGAGAGACGTGCGAATCGTGACACAAGACAAGGTGAGCACATCGGACAGCAGGGAGAGAAGAGTGCATCGGACATGAGTTGTACGCAACAAGAAAAGTGGGAAGAGACACACGCATCAGTCTGCGGAAAGAGCAAAACGAGACGAGTGCAATGCGCCAAAGAAAGAACGGTGAAAGAGAGCGTAATAGGTTACAATTTTGAATAAGTGGTATTAGTAAAGAACAAGATGCCAAAAGAAAAATGCAAAGGTAACCTGCTGTGAAAATAGACACGATAGATAGTGCCCAGCGGAAAGGAAATAGGAAAGAGATCTGGCTAAATTGGCGGGAAATAAGGGAACGTGTAATATGATAAACGCATGTCATCAATGTTCTTCTAGATTAAAGAACTAAGAGTAATAGTTTAGATTAAAAAAAAAGAAGAAAAAAAGAAGAAAAAACTGACCCGAATCCGTGGCAATAACGGTCAGTCTGTAGTTATTCACTTTCTCCCGATCCAATTTTTGCTTGGCATAAATTTCCCCTGTGGTCGAGTTGATCTTAAATATCTTCCTGTTTCCATCTCGAATAGCATAACTAATCCGGCTGAAGGAATATGAATCATCGTCACGAGCCGAAAGCTGCAGAACATGAACTGGAAATTTTTCCATATTCTCCTGGACGTAAGCAAGATAGGGAGAATCCACAAACACCGGCGCATTGTCGTTGACGTCTACAACTGAGATGTATACAGCAGCCGTGTCATAGCGGGGTTTGGCACCACCGTCTTCACACTGGACAATCACATGGTAAGACTTCTTCCTCTCGTAATCCAAATTCTTCTGTACACGCAGAATTCCACTGCTCTGGTCCATGCTGAGATCCTGATTGTCATCACCTTCAATTATGAAATATCTACAGAGAAATGAAAAGAAGAAAAAATATTTGAAATTGGATGAGTGCTTTTTTTTTTTAGAATCATCAATATGGCTGAAATATTAAATAACTAAAAAAACATCATTGTGTTGACACTTTTTAGGTTATTCAATGTCAAATTTTTCTATCTAGTGAGGGTGAACTCGCTAATTCAATAATAAAAATCAATCATTAAGAAGTATTCTCCAACATGCCTTAAATTCGCATCATGTACTCTCAAGAAAATGTGATACTAGCTTAAAATCCACCCTATCGGGCGGTATTTAAGCTCTTGATTTGGGCCTTCATCACAATAGGTAGTGATGAGTAGATGAGAAAGGCAACAATAAACGACAGAACTAAAAATTGATCGCTGCATTTAAGTATTGCATTAATATTTAAGCTTATCTTTTAAAAGTTAAACGATAATTCTTCTACTGTCACTTAATTTAAATACAATTTGATGTACGTAGGTCCTTACTTTGCGTCAATCAATTATTTTTATTTCATGATTGACTTAATCATTTTGTTTAATGTGCTCACGAAACAAGGTGATTTTCTCACAAGGCCGAAATACGGGGTACTCAGCGAGGATCGAAAATTGATCTAGAGAGGCAGGCTTGCTAACCATTAGACCACGTAGAAGTGACCAGCTTATTTTGGTATGTTTTGCAACTGAAAGGTTGTTCTTTTGCACCTGTATTTCTTGTCCTTTCAGCTAATATTAAACTAACTGTCCTGTCGTATGTAGCGTTTGACTTAAACCTGACGAAAATAAAATATGAAACCAAACAATGCGTAGAGAGATGATAAAAATGATATCCAACGTAAAGAAACCGTAAAAGTTATAAAAAAAATACAAAAATTACCTAAAGAAAGATTGTAAAATTAATGTCAGCCGACTTACGGTCATAGTTAATTGTGGTCGTATGTTGATATGAGAGCTAATTCTTTGTTCATTATACACTGTCTGCATCTGACTTTGCATGTACATTCGTTGATTGATTGATTCGTCAGTTTAACGGCATGTCATCTTATTTGCTATTTAATGCCGAAATTTAATTGCTTGGGAGCTTGAAACTAATAAAATATGATATGTTATTCTGCTTTCACAATTGAATACATGGTAGATGATACTCAGCTTTTGTACGTAGACATATTTGTGCGGATATGACAACTAGAGACGGTGATAGGTGTGTTTTATGTTGTGGTTTTGTTGAAGTTACATACTGGAATACAGTTTAAAGATTTGCAGGATTTAAGAATTTGTAGGAAATATATGGCTTAATGTCAAGAAAGTTTTTTTTTATGTTGGCTGTTTAGTAGTACTGATTATAGGGAAATTTGAGGAAAGGGCAAAAATTGAACTGGATTCAAAAAGATAAAAGATGGCGATTGGCGTTGCATTTTAGTCATCATGGAAGCAATAAAACGGAATGGTGTTCAACAGACAGGAAGTGTGAGAAAAGAAACTTTTGGAGTAGAAGTGGAGGTTGTACTTAGCTATTTCAACCGTAAACGGGTGGGACCTAGATGCCAATCTAACAGGACGTTTAAGTTCATGTAGTCGAGGCATCAGGGAAAATTCCCGTCAGAGCAGTTTCCATGAAAATATTTGTAGAAAAGACAGAGGGAAGCCGTATAGAATCGGTGAGAAAGTAACTGAAGTGGATATGCCATATGAGAATCGATTACATTAGAGATTCTTCTTTGGATTTACTCATAGAGATGAATAGAAGGAGTACCAGACCAAATATGGCAGCAGTATAAAGTTCAGTATTCTGTTGGCATCTATGAAAGTTGTTGAATTTTGAGTTTATGTCTCGACGATACTCCCCTATTGTTGTATCTTACTTATTATAAAACGCAGTTTGTGTGTGTGTGTGTGTATGTCTGTCTGTACGTTTATATATTGTAATCCAAATCTACAAAAAAAAAACGCCTCACTATAATGAATTCCACTCAACTGAATATATATATATATATATATATATATATATATATATATATGAGAGAGAGAGAGAGATGAATAAAATCCAAGGATATTTTACTTAATCTTTTTTATAGAATTTACTTTTGTATGTATGTGTACGTGATGATTCTTATGATTAATAAATCTTTGAATATGCAGTCATTACTTGTAATTTAGATATTTTTTTCTTTTTTTTTAAATAATGGATATAAAATAATAACAACTAGTCTTAATTTGGGAGAATTTCGAGGTTTCTTTGAATTTCCTGATGAATTTTAATTCTTAAGTTATTGATTGAATGAGCTCATGGCTAGTTTTATTATAATAAAATATCCGTAGAAATTACCCTATTGCATCGTTAAATACAACTTAACAACTTTAGCAAAATATTTCCATAAAAATCGTAAATATGAATACTGGACGTTATTTTAAGAAGTACGGGGGTACAAATGAAAAGATTTGAAATTAACAACTTTTTCCATTTCTCTAAAACAGCCGTTTATCACTTATATTTTCCCTTCTTTCTTGCTATCATTTTCTCACTGAAACCAAGTAGTGCCTTTTACTTCCTTTCCATGCGATCAAATCGGAATAGATCATTATTTATGAGGTTTTGGCAATTCGTGTTAAATAACGAAGGGAGGGGGGGCATAATAATAATAATAATAATAATAACAATTGAAAGCTGAAACAGAAGGTCTAATTTTGGGAGCTCAGGACCAAAGCCTAGCAACCAGATCCTATCATTCACACATAATCAAACATGGAACTAACCCGAAATGCAGGATCTCCGGAAAATATGATGAAACTGTTGACAATGTTATCTCAGTATGTCCAAAACTAACAAAAAATGAATATAGCCACAGACGTAGGGTAGCGACATATATGCACTGGAAGATATGCAAGAAGCA